TATTGGATTTCTGGAAATTTTCTACATTTACCAAAATCAAGATTACAAAATAAAATTTGATGTTCAGATGTCAAAAAAATAAAACATAATTTTAAATGATAAAAAAAAATTCAATATTTTTTTTTGATTTGGACAAAACTAAAAGAAAGTTGTTTTGATAATAAGTAAATGTGTACATATACACGTACGTAAGCACCAGTTCCATGGAAAAATTATTTTTTTTTTTTAAACATGATGTTCAAATCATTCTAATCGCACTTATTGTTACCTACGTATCTTATCTAATTTTTAAAAACAAAAAGAGCTAAACACAAGCGATAACCTAGTGAATTCAAAAAGTGCAACTAGTTACGTAAACAGTAAGTATAAAATATAATTTTAAAGAGATATTTTCTAAAAAAAAAAATTATGATACTAAAAGTAATCACGTTACTTTAGAATAAAATCCTTTAGATCAAGTTAGAATCCACGTTGATTGTTTTCAATAAAGCACGTTTCCACTAAAAACAAATTTAGATAAGCAATTATAACAAATGAATTACATATTTAAATATAATTTAATAATTTAATAGAAAGACTTTTATGATTTTTTGGAAACTATTTAAAACCGAACAAAATAGTAACATAATTGTAATTAAATCACCTTTCGATAAGAGAATTGATTGGACTTGAAACTTTTTTTCTTTCCCTTTTTTGGTTTTTAGTCATTCAAATAACTTAATTATTTAGTTATTAGTTTAAAATATTAAAATTTTGGTTATTTAAATACTTAATTTTTAATTTTTGTTCAATTGAAAACAAATCTCTACTAATATTACCAGTATCACATAAGTAACTGCTTATTGCACATTATTTAATTTCAATTAGTTAAGATAACAATTCATTATATAAATTATATTATAAATGTATAATAAGCAAGTCACTGCCTTTATAGACGCACTCATACTGCACTTTGACTTAATTAAAGCAAATAAAAATTGAGATGTCAAAAGAGACTAACTGACTAAGAAAGTATTTTAAGAACTTTTTAGAAAAATTACTAATTAATATTTTAAATATTGAGGGTACTGTATAACTGTCGAATATCTTAACTTTGATACTAAAATTGTAGCACTAAAACTGGAATACTTCCTGCTCATGCAAGTAAGTGCAAAGTGTAAGTGCATTTACTTACTCAAATCTTTGTAAATTCAAAAATTTTAATGAAATATACTATTATTACTTTGTTGACAGTATGAATCAAAATTATAAGAAAAAAATTAATTTGACATTCAAACAACGAATAAAAAAAACAAAAAGAAAACAAAATTGGAGCACAATCTAATTGATTGCTTTTAAAAAACTTTTAACTTTCTTTGAAAATTACTTAACATTTTGTTTTTTCTCCTTACTTACTTACTCAACAAATTCAACCTTGAATACATGATTTATTACTTAATTTGCAAATTTTATAATAAATTTTGTAATAATCACGTTTTTTTCTTTTTTCCTCAATTAAACAATTACTTATGTACATTTTTATATATAGGTACTTATTTATAAAAATTTTAAGTCCTTGCCAGGGTAGTAAAAAAATACAAAATAATTTGTAGTACTTATACGAGTATAATGTACATATGTATGTGCACCAACATTAATGAAAATGAAAAACAATAGCAAAATAACTCCAGCAATCTATCAATCTTAGTTATAAAGTGAACAACACATTGTACATTATGTACATATATTGACCTTAATTCAATGGTGATTTTTTATGCTATCAAATTGATTTTAACATAATAATGGCCCCTTCTTCACCACTAGGTGAAATCAATTGCAAAGTGTTTAATAATAAGTTATGTTGAATATTTTGTACTTTAAAATTAAGCATTTAATATCATAAACGTAATTATGGATTCCTTTATTAATTGCAAATTTTTTAGAGAAGGAAAAATTAATACAAAGCAAAATATTTCATAAATTTATTTCATTTTAATTGATGACAATTTTGGTTGTATAAAAAAAATTTTTAACGAAAGAATTTAAAGAAAAAATCACAAAAATTAAAATAAAATATTTAAAAATTGGTCGAAGATTCAACTATTGCCAAGAAATAAACGAGTGCATTATACTAATACGTACAAACATAACTACATATATACGTACACCAAGCAATTTATTATAAGAAAAGTATCTGCTTGTCTTTGAATAGTTCAAATTCAAGGTAAATAATCAGGTTGTTTGACACAAACAAACAAACAAAAACTTTACGTAGATAATGTTTGTACGTATAAATAAATATTAGTATATGTGTATGCGAAATTATTATTATTTTAACATTGTATGATTTAGTTACTTGTGATACAATCAATGTTCTAAACAAAAATAAATTTCCTTTAAAATGTTGAGGTAAAAAACATATTTAGCAAAAACTTTTGTTTCTTAATTTTCAAATTTGAGAAAGTTATTGAGAGAAAATTTAAATTTTTTACCAATTTATTTTAATTGGTCTTTAAATTGGTTACATAAGTTCTTTATTTTACTATTGTAATAAAATTATAATTTTCAACATAGGTATTAAAATGCAAAATAAGTGCCGGCAAAATAAAAATATAATTTCTGTCGGTCAATCACCTTTATACTTATATTTTTTTTTTAATTTAGTAAAATACCAGAAGAAGAAAAACAACAACTTTTTTTTGCTTGTACAGCATTCTTTATAATAATAAAATAATATTTTAAGTAATAATTTCAAAATTTTACTGAATAAACATAATTAAGTGCTCAGTCAATTCAGTTTCAATGTGTAAAAAACTTGAACTATAAATATTTAATTTAATATTATTTGAAAATAAAATGGCATTTCGAAAAATACGAAGATAAATCAAGCACATCCCCCCCCCCCCTTAATTTTTTCATCAACAATGCTCGTGCTTACTACTTTTTTAAAATTTGGAATTAAGTTCACACCCTCCGCTCTTAATTTTTTACAACCGCGCGCATACAATAAGGGAGAATGTGTGATGCCACTAAATTTTACATGTCGTGTTTTCGGTGGAAATGCTCTTTTTCATGGTAGGGATGTCTGTTTTTACTAATTTTCATCAAAATTTGAATAGATATCAAATTATTCAAATTCCAAATATTTTGGTCAACATTGATTTGATCAATACAGATCAATTAAATTTCCATTATTAATCTTTAATTTTATAATTTAATAGTATCTCCGCTATTAATCAATTATAAATTTCATATTTCATCTAGCTATTTATATTTTGTAATAATTTCTTAACATTTTATTTTTAATTTCTTTTTTATTTGACAATACTTAACTATTTCCAAACAAAAAAAAATATATGGGAAATTATTTCTGACACTTGTTTTAATAAAGTAGATGATTTCGTGTTTTGCCCCTGACATATATAGGATAACAAAATGATGTTTTTTTTTCATAAGTTTTGTTTTCTTTTCTATCTTCTCTCAATTTCAAAATGAAACAAATTTTGAAATTTATTCTGATAATAAAAACAACCATGTAATATATTTTTTCCTCGAATATTCGTTCAAAGTCATCACAATACAAAACGATTTGTTATAAATGTACAATATTTTTAAAAAAATATTAAGTATGTACGAATATAATACCTGGGTAGCTATAACTATATAACAAATGTAAGTGTATGTTTTTAAAAATTTCAGATTATTTTAAATTTGATAATCTCCAGATTTTGAAATTATTTTTTTATAATTTGAAGTATAAAAAAATTTAGAATATTTTTTCTCTGGATTTTTATTTCTTTTAATTTTTTTTTATAATTTAGTGGTCATTAAGTCAATATAGAACAAAAATAAAAAAGCATTCTGCAATTATATATACATATATATATATATATAAATATATATACCTATATAAACTTTATGAATAATATAAATTTAATTATTAAAATATAGTTCTATGTTTACAAGTACATACTATATTTATATTAAAACAAGTAATTGTTTCTGTCATAAGTAAATGTAGGTATGTACCTATATCAATAAGTATATGGACATAAATTTAATGCAGACGTTGTATTTTTGGCTTAAGACCAAAAATTCTAAATATATTTTTATAATATAAACTAAACTACATAAACAGATATAAAACATAATTTTATTTCTTTCATGTTCTTCATTACGTATCGTTTAAGTATAACAAAATGAAGATGTTTCAAATCTAAAATGGAAAGACAAACTATCAGGAAAGCAAAACAACGAAGATATAAAATGAAGTAGTCAAAGCAAAATCTTAATAGTAAAATAAAATCTTTTAAATATTAAAAGAAAGAACCTATGCTATATTCAACAATATATTACCTGCTTCTCACGTAAACAAGTTAGGTAGATAAATAAGCAGGTACGCATACCTTTTACTAACATAAACATTTTTTACTAACGTTTAACATATTAACATTTTACTAACTAGTTTACATTTAAAATAAGTACAATTATTATTTAGGTAGATAGGAAGGTACCTAGGTACCTACCTACCTATTACGAACATTCATTTAAAAAAAGACAAAGAATAGAGTTCAATATAATATTATTGCGGGACATCATCACAATTCCTCCATTTTAACATTAATGAATTGAGGTATAATGTAATATGGATATAAAAATAGTGTGGAAGATATAATAATATAACATTCATCCATTGCTTATCTGCATTTGTGTTTTCATGTTGACACAATGTAATAGAATAATTTCATTTTAGGTACTACCTAAAATATATATTATGTGAAACAATGAAATTGTAAGGAAAAGTAATTTAATAAATGTAGGCAAATATTAAAAAGTACACATTGGGTAGTTATATATCCAATTGTTGATGTAGCTAAAATGACAACCGGAAATATTATATTAATTACATTCATGCAATAACGCATATATATATATATCTATATTTAGCTAAAATAAAAATAAAAATTATTTGTATTTTCTACCTAAAATTCTTATAAGTATAAATTAAAACTAATTTTTACCTTTAATTTTGTTAAATCATTTTCTTTAGCTGCATTAAAAACTGCGAATTCTAATCTTAAGAACTCCAATCTACAATCCATTTTGATTTTATTGTTTGAAGGTATCCTCAATATGAAAATTATGTAGATTTTATTATATTTTTTATTTATTTTTCTTTAATTGAATGAATAGCTGTTTTTTTAATTAAATTTAAACAAAAATATGATTATTTAAAAATTTTTGTTTAATTTTTAGGTAGATTCCAGCCTATCCTTGCAAAAAATTGATATGAAAAATTTTTCTTTTTGTTCTTTTTTTTCCAAAGAAAAATTTAATTTATTTTTTACGCAATAAATAAAAAATTAGATATTTTTTCTTCTTTTCCAAATTTTTAATTTTAATATTAATAAAATTAAACCAAAATCCTTTAGTAGATACAGTGTAGGTTTGGTTTTATAAGTATTTAATTCTTTTTTTTCACGACGATAATCAATTCTAAAACTTTTTTATTATTAGAAATTTTAATATCATCATAAAAAAAATTATAATTCTTTTTTTCTTTTTATTTATTTCAATTGCAAACTTTTCTTTTTTAATTTGAGTTAAATTTAAAAAAATGATTCAACTCCACTAAAATAAGCAATCACAACCTACTCAATTCACTTTAGATATCAAACTGACTGATTATGACGTGCCATGACATGACAATTGACAATTGGCAAATGACATTACAGTTTGACATTTTTCTTACAAAATTTTTCTGCCATGACATTAATTTAAACATGACAAAAAATTTAAAACAGGGCTGCTGATTAAACAGCGCCATCTTCAATTTTTCATTAACATAGAAATGTACATCGGCAATAGACACGGTGAAAGTAGACTAGCAAAACAAAAATTTTGTTACGCCCAAAATTAAACAACTAATTAAAACAGCTGTTAAAATATTCTTTTGCAGAATCTGCTTTATTTTTTTTTAAATTTTTGTTTGAGAACTAATAGTTGATAAGCAGTAAAAGTTAGAACTGCAATCGCAGCCCGTTTTTGTTTCGGTACTGTAGAAAGCAGTCTATTATAGATTTTATTTTACACCCATTGTTTGTTCATTTTTAATAATGTTTTCCTTGTTCATTTTGTTATTTTTTACTTTTATTATAAGATTATAAATTTCGACATTTGTTTGTAAAGAGGCGTTACTTTTGGTTATTTTAGTTTAAGAGCAATATTGATTCACCTTATTGATTTCTAAATATGACGTGAATGAAAAAGTATTGTCTGCGCAACAGAAAAATAATAAAAAATTGTAGGATTTAAATATTGTACATATCTAAATTAACGGGACAAGCGGTTGTCAAAATTTATATTGGTTCTTACATTTTGCTGTATAATTGCTGTGCGGCAACCGCTTTTGAATTCCAACTTCCAGTTCCAAGCAGATCACGATTGAACTAACAATTTGGTTCGTGCAAAGTTTTAAGTGTTTTATATTTTCATCCATTAACTTTAGATATACATGTTTTTCTATAGGTAGGTTTTTTTTGATAATTCAAAAGATAAAGTTAGCTACAAAGTATTGAAATTTTGATGCTTGCTCCTACTACACCTTAAGTGTGAACTGCATGTGATTGCTGCTACTGCTTGTACAACACTGTTGTATTTTGACATTTTAAATATAAATCTACATGTGTTCATTTAGCATTTTTATATTTTTGTAATTGGTTGGCAATACTATATTTTGACAATTTTTATGGCTGTCGTTTCACTTTGAAGCGTTTTCTCGTATGACAGCTTCGAGAAATAAATTGTATTTTATTTTTTACCTAGCCGAGTTTTTAACAATAAAATTTAAATTAGGCATTTAATTAATGTGCAGGTTATTTACAATTTTAAATAAGAATTCATTGTGTTCAAAGAAGTTAAAAATTGAGAACTTTATAAAAAAAAATTGTCAAAAATAAAACACTAATTTACAAAAGAAAGGAAAAGGAAGGTGGCTTGTTTGGTCTTGTGAGATTATTGTGTCGTGAAGAGGACATTGCAAAACGCAAATATAATTTTTTCAAAATTGTTGAAAGAAAACAAAAACTTTTTAAAATCTTAATAATATTAGCATATAATATAAATTAATAGATATTAGAGTGCATTTTTTACTTATGTTTATTTCTTATTTGGCGCAATTTTAATTCCAGTGAATTGTCAAATAAAAATTACCAATGGAGGATCAAAATTAAATGGAAATAACTTTTATATTTTCAAGAATCCAAATTTTTTTTTCGTAAAATTGCTTATACCGGCCTTTAATTTTGTATTGTAGTTTATTAATAAAATATTTAATTGAATTACCATTTAATTTTAGTAAAATACCATTTTGAAAAGATACTTGTAAAATTTTTTCACAGCAAACTTTTTTAATAGTTGATCTCTTGTATATTTTAACTATAAAATTTTAAGACTTGATATTAATTTATTTTTGTCCGCGTTCCGACATCTCAATAATTTGATTTATAAGTTGATTTTTCGTTCAACTTTGCTTTTTAATATTTAAAACTTAACTTGTAATTGTAAAAGTATTTAATTGAGTTTGTAAAACAGAATTGCGCTAAACTTTTTTGTTAAATTCCGTCGGTTTGAATTCTTGCAACTTAATATCTATTTATTAAATAAAAAATTTTGTGAACTCAAAGTGACGAAAATGTTGTTATTAAATTAATCAAGTTGGAAAAAAAAATTCTTTAATTTTTATTATTTGAATGATATAAGAGAAAAATTCGGAAAATGTATTCTACTCCACAACGTCATCCATCTGCTGGGGTAAGTAGTGTTTTATTATTTTTTATATTACTATATGTATAAGTAATACAAATTTTAATATTTTTATTTAGCAGGAAAACTATTTTTAGTTTTATGAGTTTTCAATTATAAAATTACGCCTTCTTAATGTTTGTTAGCATATACATAATATGTTTGGGTAATATCTGGTGGGTTTTAAATATTTTGTATCAAACAAATCAAATTAATTATACAATATGATGATGTTTTTATCATATTTTATTATAGATAATTAAATAGTTGGATTGTGAACATGCAACTGGTAGTTAACTGCCATCTTTTCTTTTCATAGTAATTGAATTTTATAAGACTTTCATTGCAAACTTAGAATAATTGACCACAAAAATACAATCATAATGTTAGCCTCCAAATCTATCAACCAAGGCAGGTAAACCACTACCCATTCCCTTTAAATTAAATAGTCAGACTAAATATAAGAGTTTTTCTCAAAATTTCTCTTTTCTTTGCATTTATTATTTCGATTTATTTGTGTTCCTTTATTCAATTTATGTTACCTTTGAATATGAGATCCAATTTTATTTCCATTTTTTATAAGTATTTTATATTTTGTTATTTTTACCGTCATTAAATTTGGAAATTATTACATACTTAGGAAGAATTACTTATATTTCGTAAAAAAATAAAAATAATTAAGAAAAAGTTTAATAAAATTAATTCAGGTAAAAAAAATAATAAAATTATAAAGGACTTTATTAAAAAAATTTATTTTTCAACCCATATTTCAAAAATAAGTAATCATTTTTACTGAAAAATATCGAACAGTGGAAATAGTTTTGATAAATTACTAATTACATCAAAAGCTCCTTAAAAACCCTTATTTTGTATTTTAATAATAGGCTTGCATATTTCTTATTTTAAACTTCTTTAATAGCTATGTAGGTACAATATTGTTTGTATTGTGTAAGGGTGGAATTCTTAAAGAAAACCACAGTACATAAATTAGAATATGTTTCTATTTAAATTACATGTTTAATATCCTTAAGAATTTTCTTTCAATATTCCTAAATATTGACTTAATACTTTAATATTATATTCACTTAAAAATACATCAATGAATAATTATATCATTAGAATTTGTAAGTAACATAATATTGGATGTGTTCATAAACAAAATTGTACTTAATTTAAATATTAAAATGAATGTATAAGTTCAACGAAAGGCAGTTAAAATCACCTTCATTTTTATTGAGTTTTCATTTTTTTTATCCAACACCTTTTTAAAATATTGTTTTTCCTATATTATAGAAAAGTATTCATTTTCTAATTTTATTCGACTAATTCTGAAATTCTTTGCATATATAATTTATTTTTGTCACCCATGACATAGGTATATCTACCTATTATTGAAATACCTTTGGCTGAACGTCTAATTTCTATTAACATACTAGTATATTTATGGAATGTAGTATATTTATAATATGCAATTTATGTGCACAATAACTTCGAGTTCATACATAGATAAATTGATGTATATATGTAACTATATTATATAAACGTTTATAAATAAATATTTCATACATTGACATTATAATGGCACGCTTATTTTTTTATATATATTATTAACTATTGTTTAAGTTAATGTAGGTAAGTACATACATATGTAATAATTATATAATAAAGACTGCTATATAATTTATTTTAATAACATTGTTTACAAAATATTTATTAACCATTTCTATACAACTGTAACCATTTATAAAATAATTATGTTGAGTGCTAAAATATTTTCGTTTTAAATCATAAAATAAAATTATTACGTACCGATAATAATGTATGTATATACATAAATATTTAGCATATATAATTGCTATCAACTTCTTGTTTATTGCCTCAAATAATCAAAAGAAAAAAAAAAAATTAGCTTGTGAATTTTTGAACTTTTCTCCTTTTTATTTCTCTTTTATTCTAAATTTTTCTTTTCATTGTTGCTCTACTTTTTGTTATATTATTTTTATATATTTTTTTACCATAAATGATTACAAGAAGAAAAAAAAAATTCATTTTAAATGAGTACACATACATTCACATTTATTTAATATCCTTATTTTTTTTTCCATTTACAATGTAGGCATAAATATGTACGAACAAAATATAAACGTCGCAAAAATACAATAATTTGAAAGACGAAGGAACAAAAAAAAAGTTTTTTTTTTATTTTTCTATTTGATTTATTTTTTTTTTTTTTGTCGTCCTTTGTTATTACTTCTACTACTTCCTATATATTGCTGTTACTGCTGCTTACTTTTTATTACTCCTATATTATTAACAATACTATTAATTCTCTAACTACTATTATATTCTCTTCTTATTTTAATATTTATATTCTCTCACTTCGAAAATTCATTTTAAATAACTACCAATATGTTGAAATGAAAGAAAAAACGACAAAATATTTAAGAAAAAACAAAAAAGAAAAGGAATAAAAAATAATTTTGTTTTTATTTTTGTATGTAATTTAATACCCCCAATACTAAAATAAAAGGATAATAATAATAATAACAGGATACGAACAATAACAACTTAAAGGAACACGACCATTTCATTTTGACATAAAGTTCAAATTGTGCGGTTTAGTATATGATGTCTTGGTATACTTTTATAAAATATGAAGAAAATTAGATTGAAAAGGATATTTTTTTTTTTTTCATTCACTTAAATATATTTATCAAATAGTATCGTATATGACTAATCCGTAACATGCAAAGGAAGTTAAATACGAGTATGGAATGTAATAACATTGGAGAAATGTAGATATTGGTTCACGATTTAAAGTTTTTTTTTTAAAAATAATCAATTTCAAATAATAACATAGGCCCTATACTTATACAGTACGCGTATACGTATATCCACATAAGTATATATATACATACTTGAATTTATGAGAAAAATAAATATTATTTTATTGTTGTTACCCTCGTATCCTTATTATTATTCCTATGTTTTATCAAATTAAATTTTGAGTTTTTATTCTCTTCTCCTTCTCCTATGCTATTGCATTTTCATTTTTCAATTCAATTCAACTGAACTTACCACCTACCATAACTACAATTTTCTTCTCTCTCGCATACACTTTTTGTTACACAAAACTACATTGCCTGCATTTCAAACTACATTCATACTCTAAACATATTTAATATATTATTCACTATATTATAATGGTATGTATAGAATTCTCATATATCCTGTGGTTATTCCTTCCTTCATTGTATTCATATATCATTTTTGGTTTATGGTTTTATTCCCTCTTTTTTATGCTTTTTCTTTTTTTTCTACTATTTTGTTTTTCTTTGTTTTTTTTTTTATTTTCATTATTCTAGCATATAATTGTGTTTTAGACGTCGCGTTTGTGGGAATAAAAATAAATAGAAAACGACAAAAAAAAAGGAGCAAAAAATATGTAGAAAATAAAAAAAATTTAAAAGCGGATTTATTGAATAGAGAAAGTGAGAACAAGAAAAAAATATTTACAAAAAAAAAAAAATTAAAATAAAAACTAAAAGAACCGATTACCTTAATATTGAATTGAAGGGAGAAAGATGAAAATTAGTGTTTATGGAGAGTAATTGTGTACATGCTTTTTGTATGGAGGAATGAAATTTTACTGGCATGGTAATATACTTACGAGTATAAGCGAGTATAATGGTATGAGCAAAGAGCAATACGATTAACGGTTTGTTTTAAATGTTACTCTCATCATACCATAGTATTTTTATTATTATCATCTTCATCATATATGATGTGGAATAGATGATAATAATAAAAAAAGAAATGATATTGATAATAATGATATAATGATATTGATGATGAGAATGCTAAAAAAGAAGAAGAAGAAGAAAAAAAATATGAAATGCCGTGTTTTGCATTTTTGCTTTTTTTTTCATTTGTTTTTTGTTTTTGTTAATAATTGCTCATGCGCCTTACTAAAGGATAACAAATACCATGTATCTTATATATACATATATAAATCTGTGGCGTGTATTCTTTAAATATAAAGACCTATCTAGCAAAAAATAAGAAGAATAAAAATAATAAAGGATATTATTTTTTTCTTGTTCTTTTTTTTTTTACTCTATTTAAATAATAAGTGTAAATAAAAATATGTAGAAGGAATTGACAAAAGGAATTATGTAGAAAAAAAAAAAACCGTAACAAATATACAATTAACAAGAAGAAAAGGGAGATGAAGAAGAAGAAGAAAAATAAAAAAGAATATGAAAATAATGTTGTACTTATAAAGAGAAAAATACCAATTGACTTTAAATGCTGATATAGAGTGAAGTTAAAGAGGGCATTTTCTTTGCTTGTTAAATTTTTTTCTTCTCGTTATAACGCTTTTATTATTTGATTTTTTTTTCTTTTATTGTTTTTAAAAATTAAATACATATGTGTACATTTTATATTACTTATTGCATATAGAGAAGTTAATCTTTCTAAATAAATATAAGGTGGACTTATTACAAATTTGAATTTTAGTTTATTAAAAAAGATTTTAAGGATAATTGTTTTTTTTTTTCAATATTTTTATTTATTTTGTGAGGGTTTTGAGAATTTTTGTCGGTTATTTTGTATAAGAGAATTGTTTTAAATTCTAATTTAGTTCTTATTAGAAGAAATGCAGGGATTTAGTTTCGTGTTTTTAAAATATTTATATAAAATTTTTGGTACTGTTATACAATTAAATAAATATAATTTTTCTGTTATTATTTACTTGAAAAAATACATTGTGCACCTAAATTTAATAACAAATGACAGAGTAAGAGAAAAAAACGCAGATTAACAGCCTGATCGTGTATCTCGGTTTTTTACTCACTTTTTATTCATTTTCAAATCAGAATTATAAGTGTTTTCTAATTGATGTTTCACTTTTCCAATAAGATTACTTATTTTTTTAATTGAATTTTTGCATGTTTTCTCAAATTATCGACTGAATGTTTCATTTTCAAAAACAAAGTGAATAAATT